ATGCTTGTTTTTATTCTGAGTTAGTTAGCAGCACACTCCCGGTTCTCTCTGTCCCCTGCACTCATATTTGGTGTAGACTGGAAGGCAATGACTGATTTCTGACTTGTTCCACTAACTCAGGAGCGACAGGTACTAGTTTGTGGTGAATTGCATTTTAAGAGACAGAACGTAAATAATGAAGGAAAACAACATGCATCTTCTTATCCTGCCCAATGATATTCAAATGTCCCCTACCTCCAAATTTATATCTACAAACATAAGAGATGTTTGTCTGCATAACAATTCTTCCTGCATTTTTATTGTCTTTTGAAAACGAACAGGATGCTGGCTGAATTTCAAGAGGCTCTGCTTTCCAGGAAACAGAGCTTCCCAAGTTAACAGCAGGTCTCCCAGTGAGGGACCTGCCATCAGCCTCAAGGATCAGTATACATTTCCAATTCTCTCTCCAAGACCAACAGGACCTGTATGTGCTAGGGTGTGAATTAGGGAACAACATCTATTACACACTGAACACAAATTCTTTTCTTGTTTGCCCAAACAAAAGGTAAACATGCATTCTATCAAATGAGCATTCTATCAAAACTACACTTTGTCACCTGACTGTAACACTGGTCCAAAGGGCTTGGAGGGGTGGTGGAGGCTCTCTGTGGAAAGAGGAAGCTGCGGGCCAGTCTGCTGACCATCGCTCAGTTTCCCTCTTATCTGAGAAACCTGCACTGGGGGTGGCTCACTGGCATGGATGATGGACATGGAGTGACCCCTGGCAGTCATTTATTGGCACCCTGAGGCTATCGTGGGTGCCATTTGAAATAGCATCTCTGGAGTTGGATCAAACACTTCCTAATAATATTCTTGTTTAATAAGTCCTTGAGTTGTTGGCTTCTTCCTCCCACATTTTCTTCTTTCTGAATAATTCCTGATGGCTCTGAAAGCTGTAGGCTTGTTTTATCTGGTTATTTATCTTCCTTTATAGCTAGTTCTAAAATCCTTTTCAGTCTGTCCCTGCGCTAACCACTCTCAATGGAATGGGATGACTCTCCACTAAGAGCTCATAGTTTTGGTTTCTAAAACATTGTCCAGAAATCCAAATCCTACACTTCAATATTGTTGGCATATTGGTAATTGATTGTTCTCTTGCAGACCACTATTTTTTAGTGTAGTATAATGGTAAATTTGCAGGTTCTAAGGTCAGACCACCTGGATTCAGGACTTCCCCTCACCCGCCCCTCTCCCATTGCTAGTTGTGTGAACTTGGACAAGTTACTAAACCTCTGGGCTTTAGTGTTCTCATCCATGAAATGGGAAGACTAGCACAGCATCTACCTCTATGTGGGTTTAATGGGAATATCAATGTAAATCACTGAGCACAGAGCTTAGCACAAGAGTGCTGTTCTTATGATAAACCCAGCCTTAACCTGGAAGAAACAATGAAAGACTTTTTCTCCTTTGCAGCTGTTTGTTTTCCTGCTCAAGACCTTCTAGAGACTACAGATAGCACTATGTGGTTTTCATGCCATTTGACCTCAGGCAAATAGCAGATGTGAGTAGTTGTGAGGGTGTTTGATACATTTTGGTAGTCCCTGCCTCACTCCTCATGGGCATGGGCTGGTCACCTTAGTACCAGAATAGACACACTTTGTCCCTTGATCCTTCTTTCTTTATTTTATCCATCTTGGAGAGAATTTGTTGTTGCTGTTGTTGATGATGATTATGGAGGTGACTTTTTGTTTGTGTATTTTTAGTTCAATGTTCAAACTGTAGTCCTGGTTATATAATCCTGGGTGCAGGACCCATTTTAAAATGATTTAGCTTTCTCTTTAGTATTGGAGACAGGAATACTCTTGCACCGCTGGTGGAACTGCAAATTAGTGCAACCTTTGTGGAAAAGAATTTGGAGATACCTCAAACAGCTAAAAATAGAAATACTATTCGACCCAGCAATAGCATTATTAGGCATCTACCCCAAAGAGCATAAGACATTCTATTATAAAGACATCTCCACTCAAATGTTTGTGGCAGCATAATTCACTACTGCAAGGATGTGGAAACAACCCAAGTGCGTGTCAATTCATGACTGGATTATTAAAATTTGGTATATGTTTACAATGGAATATTACTCAATTCTAAGAAATGACAGCGACCTCACACCACTTAGATTATCCTGGATTGAGCCCATTATCCAAAGTGAGGTGACACAAGATCAGAATAATCGGCTCCACATGTACTCACCATCAAATTGGTACTGACTGATTTTCAATATGGTGCTCAAAGGGTGGTGGTGTTCACCAGGGATTCGGGGAGTGGGGGGGGATAGACCCACATCTAAGGGATGTGGTGAACAGTGTGGAGGGGAAGGGCATACCTCTAACCCTTGCTAGGTAAAGGAAAAGTTATAAAATCTAACCAACATGTAAAAAATAAGAAAACATTTATCAGGTGTCAGGAAGGTGGAACTGGGAGGAGGGGATGGGTATATATATATACATACACATTATAAGTGTGATGTGCATTGTCAGGGGGATGGACACACTTGAAGCTCTGACTTGAGGTGGGGAGGGAAGGCAAGAGCAATGTATGTAACCTTAACATTTGTACTCCCATATTATGCTGAAATAAAAATAAAATAAAAAAGAATTAGACATGCCAGGAATGTTTTCTTTAGAGATAAAATATTGTTTTGTAATTGCTCCCTGTCTTTGCTTTTGGGGTCTGCTTCATCAAGTAATTCTCTTTTGGAGACTCGTAGGGAATTCAGATTCAAAAATACCCCCAATATTTCCCTTACGTTCCAAAAACGTAAGTTACAAATATGTAATCTGCTGTTTTGCAAGCATCTATCTCTCCAGGATATTAAAGCATAGTATTAGAGTAAACATATCTAACTTCCATCACATAACCTTTAATACGATTCAGTTTTTTTTTCTTAATATCCATTTCAGGTGAAAGAAATAGTGATCTAAGAATATATTTGACAGTTTATAAATTAAAATCAGTTCTTGTCAAAATCTCAGCATATTACTTGATATGCTTAAATGACTTAACGGTATATTTGACTGAAGGGAAAGGCATAATACATAAGCCATTTAGTATATTAAATGTTACGTTTTTGAAAGTTGAATTAAATTGAAACATTTTGTGATGATAGCAAATATATATATTGATTGAAAATTGGCAACAGTCTTTAGGGACAGAATGGCAGAGTAGTCGATGTGATGCCAACTCCGTGTCAACGTCTGCATTTCAGTCCTTAGGTGAGCCTGCGTCTTACTCTTCGCAGTAATGACTCATCTTGCAGCCAATCACAGTTTCAGTTGTCCTGCCAATAACATGTTTATCGGTACAATCCAATTGCAGCTGGAAAAATACAAGGCCAATTGAATGGTCCCAAAAAACTAATTTTCCCTGAAAATGTGTCCTTGTGGATATAGTTGTTGTCTTTATCTTTCTATTAATTTTGAACACCAAGGGTTATTGCCATAATTATCCTAATTGCACCATACAGTTTGGATGCTCGCTGATTGAATGAAAAGCTCTTAGAAATAGAGAAAGGAATAAGAATGGAACCTGGTTATTAGAGGGTTTGAAGGCAAATATTAGGGCATATCTGTGTCTGAAATGTTTTCATTTCTATTGTCAATGATCTCAAATAGGAAGTTAGGAAGCTAACGCTTTAAATGCTATATGTAAAATTCTGTTGATAATCAATACTTCCTAAATTCCTGATGGATGTGGTGATTAGGTAAAGGTTTTGCCGTAATTTTGTCATTTCTGAATCCCCATTTTAAGCTAATTATGAGACCAGGAAGCTACAAGGCAATGTCTCTATCTCCATACTCTTCCCTCTTCTAACTGGATTTCCCTGCAACCCAGAAATAAGAAAATAAGAGTCTATTCTCACACTTACATGGTCACCATAATAATGGGATTGATAAAGCTAATTCCAGGCACTAACTTTATGATTGTATTACAGTTTTCTTTTTTTTTTTTGTATTTTTTTAAACTTTTAATTTTGAAATAATTGTAGACTGACATGTAATTGTAGGAAGTAATAGAAATTCCATAGAACATTTCCCCAGTCTCCCCTGCAATGTAAAATTTCCAATCAGGAATTTTACATTAATACAACCAATCAACCTTAGTTTTTATGCACTCATCTATGTGTGTGTGGGGGTGTATGTATATTTAGTTCCATGCAATTTTATCATGTGTACATTCATGCAACCTCCTTAGGTGTCTTTTTTTTTATTTCATCATATTATGGGGGTACACATTTTAAGGTTTCGAATAATGCCCTTGACCCCCTCCCCCAACAAGTCTGAGCTTCAAGTGTGACCAAAGGTATTAACTGATCAGTACCTAAGAGGACACAGAGGAATTACGTTAATTGGGTATTGGGCAGGTGGGAGGTGGAAGGAGGGGGCGGGTATATACAAACATGATAAGTCAGTTTTCATTTTAGTTTCCATCAGTGAAAAAAACATTTTTGGAGTCCTTAGTAAAAGCACATAAATTGTGTCAAAGTCATATGAATGAATGTAAGTAAAGTCAAATAATTTTGTTGTCTTGCACACAAACAGGATAGTAGACTCCTGTATTCTGATCACATTTCATCTCTTTAATCTTGTTTTCTCCCTCTCTTTCCGAAGATTATGTAAGAATTTGCAAATGAAGTCATGCATATTGCTTTGAAATGTAGTGCAAATCTTTGCAGCCTGTTTTTGATGGTGTCAACGTCAGGTTCACTGGAGCACTGATTTAGTTCAGGATACTTGAGGGTGGAATCACGCCGATGACTTCCTATCATTCGGAACTTGCGTGTGATGCTGAGCTTCCCAGCAGCGTAGGTCATTAAGCGGCTCACAGGGACTCCCACTTGTCTTATAAGAACCAGATGTTGTCTAAACAAAACCAGGTCTCTTTAGAAGAAATACCAAACAGGTAAGACAAAAAAGGATTAGTACGTGGATGTTGAGATTTTTCTTCTTTCTGGTTGTTTCCAGAACCAAACTTCGTGTCCTCTTATGACATCGGAAATTTTACCTACTTCTTTTTCCGAGAAAATGCCGTGGAGCACGACTGCGGGAAAACCGTGTTCTCCAGGGCTGCCCGGGTCTGCAAGAACGACATCGGAGGGCGGTTCCTGCTGGAGGACACCTGGACCACGTTCATGAAGGCACGCCTGAACTGCTCGCGGCCCGGGGAGGTCCCCTTTTACTACAACGAATTGCAGAGCACTTTCTTCCTGCCCGAGCTGGATTTGATCTATGGCATCTTTACCACCAATGTGTATGTAACTTGAAATAATTTCTTTCCCTGCTCTTTTACTCATTCTGAATAAGTCTTTTGTTCTTTGACCTTTGAGGTTTCAGAGTTGCTCTGAAGGAACTCTTTCGCATTTTACTGGGCTAACTGCCAAAAAAAAAAAAAAAAGACTTTTCAGTATGTTTCAGTATGAACTAAATGTTAGGCAAATGTTAGACAAAGGTATGTGATTTGTGAGACTCGTATTCGGAAAATAAAGCTAATCAAGAAAGCTTTGCCCTATCTTCAGGAAACAGTAATATCAAATTATTCTAATGTGAATTGTTCCTTCCTGACTTGCCAATGTGTTTGGGGCACTTTCTGAATTACTGGCTTATGTTAAATGTATTTTTTTTTCTGCACACAAGTTATGCATTTGTACATAATGAAAGCAGTGTTGTCTGGAAAGTCTGATCTATGAGATAACACAATTCCTGCCTCCACCCTGGTCTCATATGAAATGCACATTCTCACTTTCCTGTAGCTGCATTTCAGACCATCTTTCTAGAAGAGGGCTAATGCAGGCACATGTTTTCGTAAATGACAATTATACCTTTTAAATATTTTTGAAGAAAATATATTTTTTTTCTTTTCTTTTGGGGAGATATTAATACTCCTAGCTTCAGAGCGGTCAGTATTTGGTCTGGGTGAACCCTACGAAGATTTCCATGCTTCATTTTGTGGAGTATCAGTGACCCCACGGTTATTTCTGTCCTTAGCTGGCGTGCTGAGACACAATGGGGGCACAGCCCAGTCCCAGGAATTAAAGAACACATTGAGGCTCTGAGCTCTCCTGTCCCCAACAGAGGCTGTGCTAATGACGATCCCACACTATGGGGTCTGGTTTGGGCCACCTTTGAAATCTGTAACGTGGTGGCTGACCTAATACTTTGGACAAAAGCCAACTACTTGTATCCAAAGTAAAGGATGCAAACCTGGAGGGCTGAGATGTGCTGATAAATGAGGCAGATGACCCACAGTCTTGGTTTTTCTGGAATTATCCCAGTTTTAGAATCCAGGGAAGACTCACATGCCTGGGTGTCACCCTATTGTGTCTGTTCTGAATCCTAAGTATTTTTGTTTTTTAATAATTTTTTTGCTTTTATTTTTTGTTGATAAAAATCTGGCATTATTGCTTTATTTATGTATTTATTTATTTAAATTTCAGCATATTACAGGGGTACAGATGTTTAGGCTATGTAATAAGTATTTTTGATTTACTTTTTCATCTCTTGGGCATCAGGAGCTTACCCCTGAATCGAACTTCTGAGCAGTCATGTTACCTGCCTTGCACTTCTTGTTAACCTTTCCTCCCTGCTCTCTCCACTGCCGAGCCGAAGTGTTAAATTTGCTTAAAAATGTGCACTCCATGAAGGTTCTTCTTTCTGACATGGAGTCAGAAAAACAAGGCTAATATGGATGGCCCCGTGCCCAATCCTACTCTACCACAACCATCTCTATTGTTGTAAATCTGGTCTTCAACCCTAGAGGTGATTTTCTCTCTTTGATAAGTTTCTTTAAAAAAAAAAATCAATTTACAGTTTCTGAAGTTGATTTGCTTTCCAAAACCTTATTTAAGAAATAGCGCAGGCTGCACAAGATAAATGTTCAGTTGCTCAGTTGACATCAATTTTGCACACAATGGGAGCTGGTCTTACTTAGCTGTTCATTCTCCTGGCTCTGGGTAAGAAACAAAACAAAACAAAACACCAATTTCAAAAGTTATGTAAGTGCCGAGTCTGAAATATTTGAAGATGGTGAATGGTCAATTTAGATAGTCACAAAAGTAAGTTTCAGACTATGTCAGACTGTCTGCTTGTATTGCCAATTCCCATCATGTCAGAAGTCACCCAAACGGAGCATCTCCACCGGCAGAGAGGGAATGGCCATGTCTTCCTTTCTCTCTGGAATACTTTATTCTTACCAAGGCTTGGGGATGAATTTCTGATACACCTCTTTTTATTACAACATATCTGAACACTCCTCCCTTCCGTGTCTCAGCCTCGATCTTCTCAAAACATGGCCACGTTCTTGATGAGATTTGCTTCAAACTGAAAGGGAATGATGAGCAGAGGTAGCTGCTAGCTGGTTATGTCAGTCTCTGAATTAGGAGGCTGCCCGATGCTCTGGCTGGACTTGGTAGCTCAGGGTTTTGGTTGCCTCTGTCCATCCGTCAAGTTTTGCTTAGCACTTGGAGAATCGGGAGAAGGTGACTGTTCTGACCCATTCCGTCCTAACTTCCCCCACCCATCACCGCTGCTGCTGCCTCGCTGGCCCCTGGCTGGGCTCCCTCCTGGGTCTGACCTTGTTTCCCGAGCACAGTTGCTTTCTCGTTCTTACTAAAGGCCAGTCACGCGTTCAAAGCCTAATTCTTCCCTGTACTCATATGGTGACTTATCTTGCTCCTTTCTGGGGATAAAGAAGAGTGCAAAGACTGATACGAATAAACTCATCTTTGGAGTCCACCCCTTTTGCTCTGCAGCACGAGGCCCGTGTGCCTCCTGCCACCCCTGTCCTTGGTGCCGATCGCCCAGAGCAAGCACATCCCTGCCCTCGAGGCCCTTACCTTCCCATGCGGACATTTAATGCCGTCCACTTCACATGTGACTCTCTCGGAGAGTTCAGAATCCTGCCTGAGGTTCAAGTCCTCTCTTTAGTAGCTGCGTGACTGTGGGCATTTTCTGTGCCTCATTTTCCTGATCTGTGAACTTCCCGTTGCCTCGTAAAGATTAGATGAATTAGAAGCAGTGAAGCCTTTAGAAAAGTGTCTAGCACCTATTTAGCTTCAGTGTTTGTCAAATAAAACAAATATAAGGTAGGTATTTCGTTTTGGAGTTTCTTTGATTTTTTTTCTCTGATGCAGGTAAAACGATTGCTGGGAAATGGAGATGGTATGGTCTCAGCATTAATGTGGAAAGAGAAGCTTCCTCCTGTTAACCCTGTTTCCCCTTTGAGAACCCGAGCTGCGCTGAAAATGCAAATCTATTCATCCAAAATTATTTCGCTGTTTCCTTGCTTCGTCAAAGGGCACTGATTTTCTGAGAGTCCCCCATTCATGACTTTCTCTGCAGAGCTTGAATTCTGAATTAAGCCTTCAAGATTCCACATGTTAGTGCTAGGTTGTTTTTCTCTCTGACTCTTTGAATTTAAAAATCCCTTTTAAATAGATTTTTTAAAAAATGAAGGGTCAGACGATCACTTTTCTCAAAATACTATAGGCTGATTATTTTTGAAGGATGACAAATAAACACAAATACCTGGGTATTCAATAATAATAATTTAAAAAAGCAAAAACCCAAGAAAATTAAGTGTCCCCTGCCGCCAGGCAAAGTAACCAGATAAAGGGGTCGGGAAGGCAGCCCCACAAGGCTGAAAATCAGCTCCATCCTCTGGAGGAGAAAGCCTTTTTCTTCCATAATTTAAAAGGTGCAACACCCAGCTCTTCGAAATCCCTCACTGCCGCAAAATCTCTCCTGGCAGGATTACCATGCCGTAGCTGCTACCTGGCCTGGTTTCTGTACCAAGGCGTTTGTTCCCCTGCAGGGAAACCACAGGGAGCCTGTTCTCTGCTCCAACTGCATCCTCTTGGGATGTTTGAGAGACGGTAGCCTGGAGGTCTCCAGAAGCTTCTAATTGGAGGTCAGCAGTCGCTGCTGGGCGCTCTGACCGGCCGTCTCCTTTCTCTCCTCGGCCCCAGGAACAGCATCGCCGCGTCGGCCGTGTGCGTCTTCAACCTGAGCGCCGTCTCGCAGGCCTTCGCCGGGCCCTTCAAGTACCAGGAGAACTCGCGCTCCGCCTGGCTGCCCTATCCCAACCCCAACCCCAACTTCCAGGTAATTGCAGGGGTGCAGGGGCACTGTGGGTGAACTCGGGAACTGTGTGTAGACAGGCAGGGCAAGTGGGACCACGGGTGCACGCACCTGCTGCTATAGTCCCCCAGACCTCCCACGGACAGTCCCGCTGGCCCCCTCTGGGCTGCTGTCAACGGACCGGGGCCTTTTGTCCGTGGTGGCACCTGGGCCAGAAAAGGGCCTGTTGTCATCGGGGATGCCTGAGACTGGACTGAAAAAGGCCAGCATTCTGCAGTGCGTCAGGAACCCAGGCGTCAATTAGTACTAATGATGCCGGGCCCTGCGCCCCCAGAATGTCTAATCCCTAATGAATGGCGTTCTAATGAATGGGTGCAGGGCACAGAGCAGTGAATACGCAAATAGGATTAGAGCTCTAATTGGCAAATGTGGCGAGTTTCCCGTTGGAGAACGTAACGGGCAACTGGAAGGAAGGAAAGCAGATGGAGGCTGTTCGTCTATAACCACGGCAGTGCAGGGTGTTCAGCCTGTCAGGGCCTGGTGAGCCCTCGCATCTCCGAGCATGCAGAAGCTGGGACCCAAAGAGATGGAGCGATTTACCCATGTTTGGTCGGTCAGCGGGTTTATTCATCTGCTTGGGGTGCTGCAACAACACGGCACACACTGGGTGGCTTGAAACAGAGACGTTTATTTCCTCACTGCTATGGAGGCTAGACGTTCAAGATCAGCATGTAAGGAGAGCCCTTTTCTGGTGAGAGCTCTCTCTTCCTGGCTCCTAGATGGCCATCTTCTCCCTGTGCACTTGCGTGGTCCCTGGAGAGAGTCGTTTCTGGCGTCTCTTCTTCCTACATAAGGGCAGCTGTCCCTCCGGGTCAGGGATCCACCCTGATGACCTCACTTACACCCATCTACCTTCACAGAGGCCCTATCTCCACACACAGCCATGCTGGATGTTAGGGCTGCGACAGATGAACTGGGAGGGGCACAGACATTGGTCCCTAACAGCAGGCTTCCCTCGAGGGCTTCTTGACAGCTTTCATAGGATCATCGTCATCATTGCCCTGCATGTAATTTTTAGCACCAAGTCCCAGGCACCCTGCCAGGTCCTTCAGATGCATCATCTTGTGTTACCACAATAGCGCAATGGGGCATCTTGCGTTACCCCAATAGCGCTGTGATGGGCAATGGGGTTCTACATGCAGAGAAGGGTCGTGAGCCTTGGGGTAGACGCTCTGGCTCAGGCAACACTGCTGGTTCGTGGTCGAGCTGGGATCCCAACCTTGGTCCTCAGATGCAAAACCTCCTCCTCTTCTGACTAAATGACTACTGGTTACGGTTACTAATCAGCGGTAGAAGTGGGTGCTGTGTCCAGGACCCCAAATCCTGATCGGGCCATCATCCCAAAGCATACAGCCTTTGGCTTCTGAGAAAACTGGGAGTATGGACAGATTCAGTTATTTACACTTTACTTAGACTTTGTCAAGGACCATTCAATTATATTTGTTTTGAGAGAAGTTTTTTGTTGTTGTTTTAAATTTTTTTGAAAGAGCATGGAGTTCAGAATAAGATAACTGGTTTATAAGTCATCTTTACCATTTACTGCCCATTTACCGTTTTTTTTTGGCAAATTATTTGGCATCTTTTATCTCACATTTTCATCAATAAAATGGGAGCCTATGGCTACATAGGGATATTTTAGGAGTGAATTTTGATAACAGTGATTAATGTGCATTGTTTACTGTGTAAAGTATTTGCTTAAAATGACTCATAGGGACCATTTATTTGATGCCTTCTGGGCATTGTACATTGGGTAAATATATACTTTGTCTCATTCTCTCCTCTTACATAGAGGAGAAAATACATCATTCCTTTTAAGAAAGTCCTTGTAAAGGCCTGAAGGTTAAAAACTTAACGACGCCTACTCTATTTAGAGTGTACTTTCAATTATTGATGTTTTTATCACAAAAGTCTCACAATGAACAGAGTGACTTAATAAACTTTGTAATCCCTTGCCTCCAGGCAGTGGATAACTTTTAGCTGGTTCATCTGGATACATCTGTAGCACACAGCAAATCCCCTAATTTCCTAAGGCCAGAAGCATCTGGTTTTATAATGCCAGTGTCACACGGAAGGGTTTACTTTCCTTTATGAGCTGGAAGTGGGTCCATGCAGCGTAATGAATGAGGCATGCAGAAACTCGGCATGCATTTCAGACAGGAAGCTTACAGAGCTGAGCTCGTCTTTTTGGGTAGAATTTAAGACTTGCAGGGGACCAAAGTTACAGATTGTGGCGATTGTTTCTATAACTCCCAGTCTAAAAAGGACCAAGTGTTTTCTTCTTTGCTGTCTTCGCTCGATAGCCACACTGGCATAGGTATGCTGATGGACATTCATGAAACCATTCAGACAGGCATGGGGTAGGAATTCTCTTTGAAAGATCTCCTCCACCAGACGGGTCTTATGTTTGCAATAACTGACAATAAGAAGTGGTTGGATTTTTTAAATTCTTATTTTTTATATTGACATTTGGAATTTATCGCAGGACTCTACATACCATTAATCAGAGAAGCAGAAAGGCAATTCAGATTCAGGAAGAAGAATGGGTTAGGAGTGACAGTGCATGATATTTCAACGTTTAACATAGAAATCTCAATCTAAAGCAATAATGAAACAACAAAATCTATTTACCATTTTCCTCAGTCGCAATCTAGAAACTATCCTGGGTGGTGCTGTAAAGCCCACCGTGTTAGAGAGAGGCCCAAGTCCTCAAAGTCATCCAAACCCTAAACCTCACTAAGAAAAATATTAGTCACTAAAATGAAACATCATCTGGACACAGCTGAGTAGGGCAGGCTCCAGAAATTTCTGTGCAGTTTTGATTACCACTGGTCAGAAAGGGTGAAGACAAAATGGAAAAAAAGAAAGTGGCCACTTGGATGAGGAGGCTGCTGCTGGGGCACCGAGGCAGAGATCTGGCCGTGGACATCAAGACCCTTGGACACACAGCACTTGTTGGCAGCAGGCGGGGAGGGAGCAGGGAGGCAGGTGAACAGAGGGGCTGTTAGAATCGGGCACCCTTAGCAGGAGGTAAGGTGATTGTAGGCTGGACCACCAAACACTGCAGTGCTGGAACAAGGATGGATTTGTTGTCCTTTAGACAAGTAATTATACAAAGATGCAAGTATTTGATATTATTGTTTTAAAAAGTTAAGAGTTATTGACCTTATTACATGAAGAGGTCGTGGTATGACACCCAGGGTGGGTTGTAAGCCCCATGAGGACAGTGGATGTGCTTTTATTATTTTATTCCTCTTGCCTGCTGTCCCCAGGGTGTCACCCAGTGCCCCACACAGACACTGCAGGGCACCAGCATGCAAGGCACAGCTGCAGAACGTACAGTCAGGAGAGACTAGGTAGGGTGCTTACGCTCCAATAAATATAGCCTCTAAATTTGAACCAAAAACATTTGAAACTGAATCCTTCAGTGGGATTTTCATTATAGGCTAGCAAAAGAAACCAAGGAGTAGTAGAATATACTTCAAAACCAGTTCTTGACCATTCAGGCAGATGACTTAAATGAGACACGGGGCCTGGGAATGGAGACTAAAAGGCATAGCTGGTGGCCCTGCCACATAGTCCCAGGCTGCTGGGAGGGCCCTCCCGGGTCCCCCACCTCTTCTGTTTCCTCCAGAGCAGCCAGAGATTCTCAATTTTACATTATGCTTCCTGGTTTTTATGATGCCAGTTTTTCACAGACACCTTGTATATGGAGCACCCGAAACGAAAACCTGTGTGCAAACTTCACCCAGCAGGCAGGTAGCTAAGTGCCACCTGTGCCCTAGGTATTGCTGTCTATTTCAGGAATAAAACCACCAAACACAAAGGCACCCTCATAACTAGAACTCACCTGCATAAACTTCAGATCCAGCCCAGTGGAGCTCTTTTTCATTTCTTAAAACACTTCTTGACAGGCAATGTTCCTGCCCTCCAAGTGTTACGATTCAATACTATGATTATAGAAAATGTCCTAGCACATTCTCCCTTCAGGCCCCAGTGGCGACTGCTTGTGTATTCACTCACTGACCCCTTCCCTCCTTTGTTTATTCACTCATTTCTCTCCAGCCGCTGAAGCTCAATGGACCATAGAATCGTTGTCCTGCTACTAGACGAATGCATTTACCATTGGTTGAATGGCTTCTCTGTGCCAGGCACATTGTCTTGTTCTTTAGCATTTACAAGGACTTTCAATTAATTTACAAATACTTTCCACTGATTATCTCGGCTGGTCTCACAACAGCCTTGAGAAGGGAACAGAGTAGGTATTTTTTTTTCCCCAGCCACTTTGCAGGGAAGAGAAAGAAGCCTTACTTGGGCCCATGTGGCTGGAGTGACCCCTCACCTGAGACCACGAGGTTCCAGAGTTATGGAGCCAAAGTCCCACCTTTGGGTCACAGGTTGCAGGGCCAAGCCCTTCACCTGAACTCACACGGACCCTTCAAGTGGAACTCGGGGTGCTCCTGCAGGGTGTTGATATTAAGTATCGGACTAGACACGTGAAATCCATTTAAGATTCTCTTATTCTACAATCAGCCTATCATTTTATGGCCTGTGAGCATTTTACCAAATGCTACAAAAATATCATCTACTTTAAAAAAAGCAATTTCCACCTCATACATTTGCACTTCTAACCTGTTATAAAACCAAGAATTAGAAATGACATGTCATAGACAGTAGTTTCCATCAAACCTACTTATGTGAAGTGCTGCTGAGGACCGGTCACCGTCTGCACCAGGATCTCACTGTCTGAACGTTTATGAAAGACGTGAGAGGTGGTGGCAGTAATGTTCTGATTGTGCACTCCGCTCAACAACAGCCCTGCTTTCTTTCCTATCCCTCTTTTTACCTTGTCCTTACTGGACACTGTCATGAGTAACACCTGCCAGCCTCCCTACAGCACAGCTCTGAATTCAATTCTCAGCAATTTACAGGCCTGAGTTCTCCCTTGTATAGTGGGACTCACCTTCATGACATTTGCTGTATCCAAAAACCAACCAACCTTCCTTCTTTTCTACGCTCTTCTCCCTCCCCTCCTCACTTCCATTATTGTCTCATCTCTCTCTCTTCTTGTACATTTTCCATTTTCTTTCTCAGATTTCTAGATTCTAAACAATTTTTTTTTAAATTTATTCTAACTTGGAACATAAGCACAAAGCAGTAAGGCCAGCACAGTGTTTTTGCAACCCATGTGAATGATATCAGAATGATATCACATGGATCACAGATTAAAATGGCATAATGCTACTGCCACAGAACGAATGCCTTGCTTCTAGAACCACTGCTACACTAAGAAAACGAATACATCAATATGATGTCCCTGATTGCTGCATTTTCAATTTGGGTACCTGACTTATCAGACAAACATAGTATGCATTGAGCCAGATAGCTCCCAAGCCACACCATAGGAGTTTCTAGGCATGTGCTGTTTGAGTTAGCAATGACTTCCACTTTATGTTTTTAACTGCTGACAGTTCATTTAGAATGGTGTTGAGAGACTCCCCGATATGATGGTTCAAATCTAAAATGGGAGGGATGCTGAGGGTAGGAGCATCAAGGAAATGGGGAAGCGAACACGATTGCATACTTCAGTTATTCACTGCAGCTTGTTCAGTTTCCAGGTCACCCCCCAGCTGGGGTGGCCGCAGCCAGCTGCAGGTGTCCAAGCGCCGGGTTTCCGTGACACGGCCTGTCTTCCCTTGCAGTGCGGCACCGTGGACCAGGGCGTGTACGTGAACTTGACGGAGAGGAACCTGCAGGATGCTCAGAAGTTCATTCTGATGCATGAGGTGGTGCAGCCGGTGACCACGGTGCCCGCCTTCATGGAGGACAGCAGCCGCTTTTCCCACGTGGCCGTCGACGTGGTGCAGGGCCGAGACGCGCTCGTCCACATCATCTACTTGGCCACAGGTAGGAGCTCTGCCCTCCTCTGAGGAGGAGTTTTCTACCGTCTTCTGGTTTTGTATTTTAAATTCTAAACATGCAATTTCAGTCTCAAGCTCTGGGTCTGCCTTCTTCCCTTGCAACCCGCAAAACCCATGATGCTCACCTCTATCTTTCTCATTCTCAGTGCATCTTTTTGGAAATCTTAATTTCTCTCTCTCTCTCTCTCTCTCTCTCTCTCTCTCTCTCTCTCTCTCTCTCTCTCTCCCCCCCCCCCCCACCGTATTAATCATGATTTTAATTGGAAAAAACAATGGCTTGTTTCTTAACTATCATTCCTCAACTCTTCATAAAATAAGTCTTTTCTTTGCAAGACCATTTTAATTTGGGCGATTAAGACGATGGAATGCTTTGTTAGAGGACACTGCTGGATAAAATATTATCTGGGGATTGTCTTGGTGATTTCCAATTAGTTAACAAACAGTGCTTCCAAAAATATATATCTATGGATGGTGGGAAAACATGTTTTTGCCCATAAATGACAGAATAGTCTGCAGCAAATGTAAGCAACAATGCTTATCAAATTGCAAATAACAAGGAGACCTCTTCAGTTTCCAAAGTAACTAGAGTGTGGTAGGCACATTCCATCTCAGTTTATTCCACAGAAAGGTCAGGCTGTGCAAGGCCAGCTTCTGGGACCGGGGTCAACTCTGCACACATGCCCACCTTGTTCCCGCCTTCAGGTCCCCGGACAGAGCCACCTCTCTGTGGAATCTGCCACCCTCATTCTTTGTCCAGTGTTCTGTATAATTGGCACCTTCTCACAGAACACAAAAACTTCTCAATTCATAATTATGTATTTATCAATTAAGGTTTTTTTTTTAAATGAAGTTGCTACAATCCACTGAACCTTTACTATTTTTCAAATTCATTTGAAGCTCTGCACAGTAAACTGGTGAGCAGACTGGTGCTGCCCTGCCATCCTGGAGCCCACATCCTAGTGGGGGCAGCGGATAATAAATAAACCGGTCAGCAACAGGCCAGAGAGGCAATGGCAAGTGGATGCACAGAGAGGGATGTGGGTATGAACAGCAGGAAGGCTCTTGTCCTGGCTGAGCAGGGTCTGCCCCCGCCAGGAGGGGACAGTTAAGCTTAGTGGTGGCTGCAGAGGAGGAGCTAGCCTGGTACCCAAGACTAAACGGCCAAGGCTGCAAGGTGCAGGCTGGGGACAGCTGCAGGCAGTGCCACTGAGCGTTCAAGGAAGATCAGGACAGACGTGACCACTGGATGGACAGATGGAGGCTGCTGGTGCCTCTAAGGGCCAGTCTGGGGGAAGAAAGGGAGGAGAGGCAGGGACTAGGCAGAAATCAGGTAGAAACCGCTGCTCAGGGCAGCTCCTCCCGAAGTGATTCAGGGAAGAGGAATACAGAGAGGATTGATGTGGATTCTGGAGAGGACGGAAAGTCAAGGAAAGGACTATTGTTTATTGTTGTTTGTTTTAAGAGAAGGAAAGGAATTACTGTTGCACTTTCTTGCTCACCAGGCTTCAGATGGGAAATGTATCTTTTTCTTTATTTTGCCATTTTTATCATTAATTCTCTCCAGAGTGCCTGGCATGGAGTAGGTTTGTGGAATGAATGAACAGGACCTTTCCAAAAAATGTTCCTAGTTTTTCATCATACGTGTTCAGGCTAATGCCACAGAGAACAGGGCCATCTTCTTGCAATCCTAGGAGGCAGTTGAGGTCCCCATCAATACCTGAGGGGTGGTGGGTGTTGGGGGATGTGGCTATCCTTGAGCAGACCTGGGTAGGTCAGTGCAGAACAGCCTGAGGTCTCAACCTGAGCCTTCGGATCTACTCTCCACCCGAGGACACGAGAACACGATGTTTGCTTCCCTTGTGTTTGTAATGATCTATAGTGAGCTTCTGATGATTTATAATGAAACTCTCCTCCTACTTTTATTTTGATGAATGCCTTAGTCAATCAGGTTGTTATAACAAATTGCCATAGACGGGGGGAGCTTAAACAACAGACATTTATTTCTCACGGGTCTGGAGACAGGAAGTCTGAGGTCAAAGTACACGATGATTTATTTCCTGGTGAGGGCTCTCTTCCTGGTTTGCAGATGGCTACCTGCTTGCCGTGTCCTCACAAGGTGGAGAGAGAGCTTCCTCTTCTGTCTCTTCTGATAAGGGCACTAATACCCTTATAAAGGCTCCACCCTCATGATCCAATCACCTCCAAAGGCCCCACCTCAAAGTAACCTTTCACTGGGGATTAGGGCTTCAACATATGAATCTTGGGGGAACACAAACATTTCATCCATAGCTACGAGCAACTTCTTCTACCATTATTTAAAGCATGCCCACTGGAGTAAAATATTTGAGGATTTTTTTTATTACAAACAATATGTTTGAACACAATCCAAATCAAGTCAAAACAGACCAATTGAGATAAATTGTAGATCTGAGATGAAATTATAGTCAACACCCATTGCTTTTTCAACAGCGCAGCTTCTAGAAACTTGCTCGTGGAAGTCTGTTTTGAATGGTTTCATGACCGGCCTGCTAGTTCCTCACACCCACCCCCTGCACTGTAGTGAGGGGATGAGCTCAGGCCTCAGTAGCTGCAGGAATTTTAGGTTACCTGATGCTGTCTCCGTGCTTGCAGATGTGATTTTGATGGTGATATACCATGTGTCGTTTGGTGAATGTATCTTATAGAGGTTCACTTTATTGTTCCACAGACCTGATTTTTTTTGCTTTTGTTTTAATCTACTGCCTATTTACAGATTGATTCATGATGTACATCAGATATTGCTAATTTGAATGCCAGGTCAGGATTATGGGTGAGGATTATTGGTGCTAATTTGAATGCCAGGTCAGGATTATGGGTGAGGATTATGGGTGCTAATTTGAATGCCAGGTCAGGATTATGCTGTGCATAAAAAACTCTTCTGTAGTTGCCCCTGCTCACTAATTGGGGTGCCTGTTAAACTGGGGGAAGGAAGAGTCTGCAGTGGGTGAAGGCACCTTCCAGCAGGAATCAACCATGGATACCCAGAGTCCCACAGAGATCCCTGCTCTAAATCCTATGTGGTAACTCAGGGCAGGCAGACAAAAATTCTTCTCCAAGCTGGATTCCCAGACAGCATTTAAACTTGTTTAGACTAGCTTGACAATTCTAAATTTGTCACCTCTATAAATTATAAATTTCATGGCTCAACTGGATCTTTCCATTTAACTCTTACTGCACTGTACTATATTTTGAAGGAGATGTCTTCTTATACAAATTATCATTCAGAATAATATTTGGTGTTAAGGAATATCATTTTTTTTAATGATTTATAGTATATAGTCCTCTTCATTTGCTCGGAGTTGAATACTAGAAAAAATATCCAAAAATGCCGATATATATTAACTAAACATGCTAAAAGTTGAACTCTTGACCAGTAGGAATGTTAAACATTAGAGTTTTGACTTTTCTAATTCGAAAGGCTGAAGTGTATCTGGTCTCTTATTTATATCTTGCCCCAGAAGAATCACATCCTGGCAAACCAGGGATATTCATCTCCTTTGATATTAAAACTGATATTGAGTGCATATCATTTTAGTTTGATTGCACATGCTATAACTTATCTAACAGGTATTTAACAAGTAATTAACAAGTATTCAACTAATTTGGAATGCGTACACTAAGTCCTCACTTAACATGTCTGTTGGGTTCTTGTTGATGTGGATGCGGAGAGAGAGGAACACTCCTACACTGCTGCTGGGACTGCAAACTAGTTCAACCTCTGTGGAAAGCAATATGGAGATACCTCAAATAGCTAAACATAGAACCACCATTTGATCCAGTAATCTCACTACTGGGTATTTACCCAAAGTGGGGGGGGGAAGACATTCCACAAAAAAAGACATTGCACTCAAGTGTTTATAGCAACCCAATTCACAATTGCAAAGATGTGGAAACAACCCAAGTGCCCATCAATACATGAGTGGATTAATAAAATGTGGTGTATGTATACCATGGAGTACTACTCAGCCATAAAAAACATGGTGAACTACCATTTTTTATGAGGAGATGGGTAAATTTATACCTAACAGATGTGGTGTGCACTGTCTGATGAATGGGCATGCTTATAGCTCTGACTTGGGTGGTGCAAAGGCAATTTATGTAAGCAAAGTGTGTGTTCCTTCATAATATTCTGAAATAGAAAAAAATAATTAATTAATTAAAAAAAAAAAGAAGAAGAATCTGTGACTTTAAGCCAAACGTTGTAGAGCAGATCCTTGGCATAATGTCATTTCCTTCAAAGTCATTTCCTTATAATGTTGTTAAGAAAGAAAAAATTGTTTTGCTATACATTGTTTTCCTTGAACTCAAAGTTTCCAAGAACCTATGGATGACTTTAAGTGAGGACATACTGTATAATATCCAAACCAGTGAAAGTGAAGCTAGAATACTTACTTTCTTACTAATAGAATCAGTTTGATATATTAGCTTTGGGAATTCAGGTTTGGTGGTAAGCGCATTTTCTCCCACTTCGATTTTACTTGAATAAACAAACATAAATAGGACAAAACCTGCCACATACCAGTTGAAAAGTTGGTTTATTTTATTTTCAGTTCTATATCAAAATCAAAGTGAAATAAACTGCTGTTCCCAGTGCAATTCACTGCACTGCTAGTAGGCACAGTATCTGGGCCATGACTGTGGTAGCGTTTTGTAAGTTATTTTTTTTTTTTTTGAAGATCTTCTCAGAGCAGAACCTCAAATGGCAAGTGGTAACTACTTTAGAATATTTATGACTCAGTCTCACATCCAAATAGCTGCTGAGTTCTCTCCAAAGACAAAATTAAAGTTGTGTTGTGATTCGTGTATTCTGATACTATCCTCCTTGCTTGACTTACAGAATACCGAGTCTTCTGGCTCTTCTACCTCTGTGACATTCCTTTGTGTTCCACGTATTCTGCGTGGTCCTCGTGTGTGGCCGTTGCTCTGAGCTCTGCCCATGGGCAAGGT